AATTTTTGTTCAATGTTTGCGAATTGCATCTTAAGAGTCTCAATTTCCATCACCACATCGACTCAATTCATTGTATCAAGTCCAGCTTGCTTGAATTTGTGTACCTGCTCTTTGTTGGGAAAAAGAGTCAAAGCAGGACATTTTATCTGTGTTTTCATAGTCCAAAAGAGAAAAGAAGTGTCCTAACCTCATGCAAAATCGCCTTACTGCTCTTGCGGTTCCTCCTCATTCTGTTCCCAGTATTTTAGTTTCTTGCGTTTTCTCTCCGCCATGACCAAGGCACCAAACACGGTCACAATCACAGTAGGGGTGATGACTAACACAGTAACGGTCTCAGCCACACACAACTGGCTGTCCACCCAAGCCAAAGAAGCTCCGGCGATCTGCCAAGGCTCCCGACAAGTTACGTTGCGATAGTCATCCACGTGCAGGTGCCGCACGCTGAGCAGCTTGCTGAAGACACGGTGCAGGTCGCAGTCACAGTTCCAGGGGTTCCCAGCCAACTGCAGGTGCGTAGCAGCCGTGTGCAAGCTCAGGAACGTCTTGAAGTTCAGGTGCTCCAGATGATTCCCCTCCAAACCCAACCGAGACAGACTGCGCAACGGTGCTAGTGCAATGACCTCGATCCTAGAGATGTTGTTGTTGCCCAGGAGCAGGACTTCCAGGGCAGGCAGCATGGTGAGGGATCCGTCTCGCACAACACCCAGGAGGTTCCCTTGGAGGTAAAGGTGGCGCAGGCGGGACAGGCCACGGAACTCACCTGGCTCAAGAGATCGGATGCGATTGTGGCTGAGGTCCAGCTTCTCAAGGTTCTCCAGATGCTCAAGACCTAGAGGTTTCAACAGCACCAGTGCATTGTGGTCCAGACGCAGCTCACGCAGGGCAGACAGGCTCTCTGAGAAGTTAGGAGGGATCTGAGTGAGGTTATTACGGCTCATGTCTAGCTTCTCCAGGAAGGAGAGAGAGAAGAAAGCCTGTGTGGGAAAAGACATTTGGGTAATCCATATATCTTCAACTCATAACTCAGTGCAACTCCCAATTGACAAAACTAAGCTATGTGGATTGAATCAATCAGGGGTGTCCAGTCCTGTTCCTGGAGATATAACGTTCTGCAGAGTTCAGTGCCAACAACCTTGTCTGTTATCAAGCGTTTCTAAAGATCTTAAAGGAATAGTTCACCCAAAAATTAACTACTATTTACTAATTAGTACACAAAAAATTACTCATCCTCAGGTCATCAAAAATTTAGATGGGTTTGCTTCTTCATCAGAAGAGATTTAGACAAATTTAGCATTACATCGCTTGTTTACCAGTGGATCCTCTGCAGTGAATGGGTGCCGTCAAAATTAGAGTCCAAACAGCTGATAAAAACATCACAAAAATCCACACGACCCTAATCCATCATCCAAAATAAGATATGTGGATTGAAGAAATCAGATGTGTCCAATTCTGTTGAGATCGAACTTCCTGTAGAGTCCCTGCATTGCCAACTCTCTCTTAAAGTAATAGTTCACTCTAAAATGAACTACTTTACTAAAACATTTATTTAAAATTTACCAAAAATTACTCACCCTCAGGCCTTCAACGATGTAGATGAGTTTGTTTCTTCATTGGAACAGATTTGGATAAATTGAGCTTTACATCAGTTGCTCAGCAATGGATCCTCTGCAGTGAATGGGTGCTGTAAAAATTAGAGTCCAAACAGCTGATAAGAACATCACAATAATCCACACGACCCTAATCCATCATCCAAAAATAGTCCATAAAGAGTTTTCACTTGTAAACAGTGCTTGATCTGTGCATTTTTCTCTCCTAATTAAAAAAAGATAAACATTTTTCCTATTCGGCACCCATTCACTGCAGAGGATCCACTGGTGAACAACTGATGTAATGCTAAATTTCTCCAAATCTGTTCAGGTGAAGAAAAAACTAATTTTTTCAGCAAATATTCACATTTTTAGGTGAACTATCCCTTTAAATTGCTGGTTCAGGCGCATTTAGTTAGGATACTTTGATTAGGTAACTTTGCAAGGAAGGTAGATCTCCAAGACACGTGATTGTGCACCCCTGGAACAGCCTAAGTGATCTTACCTGTGTTTGAAGAGCCTGGATGCTGCAGTCTGAGAGCACTAGAATACGCAAAGACCAAAGGCCAGCAAAAGCCCGGCTCCGGATCTCCTTGAGCTTGTTTCCTCCCAGGTCTAGGAGCCAGGTGCCATGGGGAAGTCCATGTGGGACATCCTCAAAACCTCTGGCGCGGCAGTCCACCAGGTCTGAGTGTTCATAGCACCGGCAGAGGTGACTACACAGTCTTGAGCTCCTCGACGGAGACAGAAAGAGTAAAAACAACACGATGGACAGCATCAACATGATGTGGCGACAGCTTCAAGAGAGCTAACAGGAGCTCTGCAGAGCGCCAAATTGTTGTCCGGGACTCTGCATGCGGCGATTAACCGATCCTCAGCTTTCTACGGGAGAGGAACCAGATCCCTGTGATAAACGCATACAGTTTCTATTAAATGTTTCTGTGTCGACACGGCAAAACAGAATAGCAGAATATTCGCAGTGCAGCTGAAATGTCTGTCGGAAGCGTTTAATCGCCTTAAAACCATGCGACTCAATTTCTTTCTTTTTTTCATTCTCACACACGCAATAACACAGATACAAGAAAGTAGAGGAGAACTTACTGTCTTTGCCAAGGGGAAATTAAAACTGTAGGCTACTACTAGTAGTACATTGAATGCATACATTAAAATTTATTACAATGAATTGTTTTCCATTTGCTTCGATAAAATGTCATAGACTAGGTGTTGACTAGGAAATACCATTTTACTTATATACAGTGGTGGCCAAAAGTCTTAGAAAACTAGTATTTTCACCAGCTAAAAAAATGGTTTTAAGTCAGCTATTTTTTATCTTTTGTAGTGTCAGTAACTAAGAAATATAGTAGCTTTGCAGGTAGGACAGACTGATGATGATCAGATCAGATCTCTGTGTGCAAACACAAATCTCACTGGATTATTACAATTAATGGCTAAATGAATGTTTAGGAATGTAAACTGATATTTCCTACTGACACACCACAGCAAAAGATCGACATAACGGACTAACAGCCAGTGCTCCACACAGAGATCTGATCTGATCAGATCATCATCAGTCTGTCCTACACTCTTAAAAATAAAGGTGCTTCACGATGCCATAGAAGAACCTTTTTGTCTAAATGGTTCCATAAAGAACCTTTAACATCTGAAGAACCTTTCTGTTTCACAAAAGGTTCTTTGTGGCGAAAGAAGGTTCTTCAGATTATAAAAAGGTAAGAAAGAGATGGTTCTTTAAAGAAACTTTGACTGAATGGTTCTTTGTGGAACCAAAAATGGTTCTTCTATGGCATCGCTTGAAGAACCTTTTGAAGCACCTTTATTTTTAAGAGTGTACCTGCAAAGCTACTATATTTCTTAGTTACTGACACTACAAAAGATAAAAATAGCTGACTTAAAACCATTTTTTTAGCTGGTGAAAATATTAGTGTTCTAATCATTTTGGCCACCACTGTATGCGTATTATGTGACCCTGGAGCACAAAACCAGTCATAAGTAGCTCAGGTATATTTGCAGCAATAGCCAACAATACATTGTATGGGTTCAAAATGATCGATTTTTCTTTTATGCCAAGTAAAGATCATGTTCCATGAAGATATTTTGTAAATTTCCTACTGTAAATATATCAAAACCTAATTTTTGATTAGTAATATGCATTGCTAAGGACTTCATTTGGACAACTTTAAAGGCGATTTTCTCCGTATTTAGATTTTTTTTGCACCTCACCTCATTCCAGATTTTCAAATAGTTGTATCTCGACCAAATATTGTCATATCCTAACAAACCATACATCAATGGAGAGCTTATTTATTCAGCTTTTAGGTGATGTATAAATCTAAATTTAAAAAAAACTGACCCTATGACTGGTTTTGTGGTACACACAGTATATATAACTACAGATCTCCTCATAAGCAAATATTCTAAAATATAAATGATAAACACTCGTACAAGTGAGATTTTTCTTTTTTTTATTTCTTCATTACCATTTAAAAATAAAAAATAAAATACTGCGAAAGAAACCTATAGGCGAACAGCAACCCCGTTAACACACAGCGCTATAAACTGGTATGCAACGCGGATATGCCCGTCACAGCTTGGCGCCACTGCTAGAGCCTCCATCAGGCTACAAGGTTCACGAGGCTGGGACCGGGAGGACTTCGGCTTTGAGCCAGTGCTGGCTGTCCCCCCTGTCCCAGTCTCTTAACATGGCAAGATATCGCTTTACCATTTCCTTTTCCCAAAAAGGTGATTACAAATATTCCCGTTCAGAAAAGAGATCAGTCCTGTCGCGAGAGATGAGCACGATAGGAGTCGTCTAACGCCGACACATACCGAAGCTGCAATAACGAAGAAACTCTCATCGGTCACTGCATGTACCCTTCCAGTTTGGATGTGCTCGGAAATAATAACAATAATACAAACATTGCATCATAGAAAATGGTCCCACTATGGAAGAGGTATTCAAAATGGCAAGGACCAAATATGGAAGAAAATTACAACATAATATATTACACGTAAACTGAAAGGATGCTTACAGTACTTGAGTGTTACTCCTTCGTCTGTCACTTAAAAAGTGACATTTAAAAGTAAAACAAGGGAGTTTTATATTAAAAAATGTTTGGGAAAATGAGATGTTGCGATTTTCTCCGTATTTAGATTTTTTTTGCACCTCACCTCATTCCAGATTTTCAAATAGTTGTATCTCGACCAAATATTGTCATATCCTAACAAACCATACATCAATGGAGAGCTTATTTATTCAGCTTTTAGGTGATGTATAAATCTCAATTTTAAAAAAACTGACCCTATGACTGGTTTTGTGGTACACACAGTATATATAGCTACAGATCTCCTCATAAGCAAATATTCTAAAATATAAATGATAAACACTCGTACAAGTGAGATTTTTCTTTTTTTTATTTCTTCATTACCATTTAAAAATTAAAAATAAAATACTGCGAAAGAAACCTATAGGCGAACAGCAACCCCGTTAACACACAGCGCTATAAACTGGTATGCAACGCGGATATGCCCGTCACAGCTTGGCGCCACTGCTAGAGCCTCCATCAGGCTACAAGGTTCACGAGGCTGGGACCGGGAGGACTTCGGCTTTGAGCCAGTGCTGGCTGTCCCCCCTGTCCCAGTCTCTTAACATGGCAAGATATCGCTTTACCATTTCCTTTTCCCAAAAAGGTGATTACAAATATTCCCATTCAGAAAAGAGATCAGTCCTGTCGCGAGAGATGAGCACGATAGGAGTCGTCTAACGCCGACACATACCGAAGCTGCAATAACGAAGAAACTCTCATCGGTCACTGCATGTACCCTTCCAGTTTGGATGTGCTCGGAAATAATAACAATAATACAAACATTGCATCATAGAAAATGGTCCCACTATGGAAGAGGTATTCAAAATGGCAAGGACCAAATATGGAAGAAAATTACAACATAATATATTACACGTAAACTGAAAGGATGCTTACAGTACTTGAGTGTTACTCCTTCGTCTGTCACTTAAAAAGTGACATTTAAAAGTAAAACAAGGGAGTTTTATATTAAAAAATGTTTGGGAAAATGAGATGTTGGGTAGATGCTAAGTGCAGTTCAATTTCCCCTTACTCCACCTTCAGCTCTCAGTCAATCTAAAACTAAAAATAAACCCTAAGGAACTCAAACTGTATTTATCTAGTCTGAAAGGCTTTATAACTTAGGAAAATAGTTTTTGTTCTACCCTCACACACTTAGTGCCACATTTTATAGTGGTAGAAAGGAAGATTATGGATTAGAAGAGAAAATGTGATTTCTTTGTTGGCTATCCAAGCAAGATGAAATGAACAAGTGGGTTATTTGATGACAGGAGCGTAAAAACAAGGAGATCTAACAGGGTGGGATTGGGGGGTGAGTGATGATATTCTAAGACAGCACTCTACTTTTGTCAGTGGAAGCAGTTTTTCTCTTCAGATGTGTAGGACTGTCATCCCTGCTCAAAACGCTGAGTATCAGCTATCTCAACCTTTGTCTGGCGATTTGTTAAAAAAAACAAAAAAAAAACATCAGAAAATATTATTAATTTAAAACACACAACACTTCCTTTGTCAGCATAATGTTCCCTCTCTGAGCCTGGGCTCATGATGATAAAGCAGAGTCTTTCTGTGTTTGTTGAGCTTGCTGTGAATGCTGCACTGATTTTTGGCTCTCCATATCTCGAAAATGTTTCTCCACCTGTGGACAGAGAGCACAAAGGTTAGCACAGCAAAACAACAAAGACATTATATCAATTCATATTAGTAAATGTTCATAGTAAATAGCAATTACTAATTACTAATCATATTAGTAAATGTTCATCAATAGTAAATGTTCTGGCCATCTGTCATTTGCGTGGAACTGGAATTAAAGCTTGCAAGTTGAGCGTCTATATTACAAAATCCTGAGGCAAATAACACCGGTACATTTTTTATTTTCAAATGAAAAGCTAATTTCTCCAACATTAAGGACTCCAATAACAGTAGTTTATTGGAGTAAATTTTAAGGCAGTAGTCTTTAAATGTAAATAATATCCACGCTTGTCCAAGCAAACAGAATAACCATTTTAGTTACATTGAAAAGGAAATAAGTATGTAATAAAAAGCTACTAACTGGACAAAATGAATATTTTGTGCATATGAATAAATATTTCTGAAATGATATTTTAGAGAAAAGCAATACATTTTACGTGCAGACATCTGATAAAAGTTGGCAAGAGTTAAAATGAACATCAAAGATAACCAAGTACTACACTAGTATCTAGATATTATAGACTTAAATTCATGGGCTGAAGCTCACTAAAGATGATTTTTACAAGCATTTTTTATTTTAATTTTTGTACACTAATGTTCAAAAGTTTGGGCCAGGTAAGATTTTTTTTTTTTATTGTTGAAAGAAGTCTCTCACATTCTCAAAGGCTGGATTTATTTGATCAAAATACAAATACAGTACAACTAATATTGTGAAGTATTATTAAATTGGAAAAAAAATTATAAATGTCTTTTATAATTTAATTTATTCCTGTACTGGCAGAAATCATTATAATATGCTGATTGGTGCTCAAGTAAAATTTCTTATTTTATCACAGTTTAGAACAGCTGCTTAAAAAAAAATAATATAGAAATAATAATAAAAAAATTTAATCAGCTGTTTTATTTATAAAAATAAAACGGCTGCTTAATATAAAATACATTATGAATGCATTTTATTCCTGTACTGGCAAAAATCATTCAAATATGCTGATTTGGTGCTCAAGTAACATTTCTTATTTTACCACAGTTTAAAACAACTGCTTAATATTTAGTGATACATTTTTTCCACAAGGATTCTTTGATGGAATAGAATAAAGCAATAAGCCCCAAGAAGCTGCTTCCGCTTCGCGTCGTGCATAAATTCACTGTAAACCATGGCTTCCCGGGGCTTATTGCTTTTATAAAGCGGTTATACCATATATGTAGCAAGGTTTCACAAAGTAAAACAAAGCAAATAAAATGATATTAATAAAAACATTATTCTTCCACCAAACTTTGTAGTTCCTCAGAAACGGTTGTGGTTGCGACAAAGTGGTTGCAGAGCAACAACAGACGTAAGCAAAGGTGTAGGTTTGTAGAGTAATTTACAACAGCTTTGAACGCAGCTCAACCAATCAGAATCAAGGACTGGAACTATCCGTTTTATAATCAGTTGCATGAAGCCTTGCTGAATAAAAAAGAAAAAAAAAAAAAAAGGAAAAAAATTCTTACTGACCTCACTAGTGTAGAACAGAGTTGAGACGACTTACGATTTTCCGCACGTGGCTCAAAGCGCTGCCATCTTTGCCTTTACAGTTGTCCACTTGGTATGGCGGACTGATGACCACATCATCCATCACTATGATGTTTTTCTCCTGCCATCTGCAGTCTTTGATGCTGCGGGTGAAGACGAGGAGGAAGAAGGTGAACTTTTCATTCTGTTTGATATAATCACGTTAAGCATTTCATCCACAATTTTACTTCCATACAAAATTACTTCCTGATAATGCAGTAATGCATTATGAAGTCAGAGTTGTTTGATTTCAAAGGAAGAAAAGCAATAAATAGAGAGTCGGACTCGTAACCCAAAGGTTGAAGGTTCGAGTCTCGTACCGGTAGGGATTGTAGGTGGGGGGGAGTGAATGTACAGCGCTCTCTACCACCTTCAATACCATGACTGAGGTGCCCTTGAGCAAGGCACCGAACCCCCAACTGCTCCCCGGGCGCCGCAGCATCAATGGCTGCCCACTGCTCCGGGTGTGTGTTCACAGTCTTTGATGCTGCGGGTGAAGACGAGGAGGAAGAAGGTGAACTTTTCATTCTGTTTGATATAATCACGTTAAGCATTTCATCCACAATTTTACTTCCATACAAAATTACTTCCTGATAATGCAGTAATGCATTATGAAGACAGAGTTGTTTGATTTCAAAGGAAGAAAAGCAATAAATAGAGAGTCGGACTCGTAACCCAAAGGTTGAAGGTTCGAGTCTCGTACCGGCAGGGATTGTAGGTGGGGGGGAGTGAATGTACAGCGCTCTCTACCACCTTCAATACCATGACTGAGGTGCCCTTGAGCAAGGCACCGAACCCCCAACTGCTCCCCGGGCGCCGCAGCATCAATGGCTGCCCACTGCTCCGGGTGTGTGTTCACAGTGTGTGTGTGCACTTTGGATGGGTAAATGCAGAGCATTAATTCTGAGTATGGGTCACTATACTTGGCCGCATGTCACGTCACACAATAGTACTTATTATAGAGCTCTAACCCAAAGATAAGCATTTCAACAGCCCCATCACTTACGTTTTATGAATGGTCTGGAACAGCTGTTGGCCCTCTACAGATACACCAGCACTAACTGCATAAGCTTGCGACAACTTGTCTTCCTTTTCCGCCCGTGCTCGATTTACAAGCTGCACAGGGATGAAGAAATAGAAAGTCAAGATATTACCAATATACAAACACACACATGGAATAGGTCATCATTTGAGCTTACCTTGTTAAAATTGAGAGATGCTAAAGAGGGAGGAGTTTCAGTGCGGTCACTGATGACGTCCACATCCGACACATAGGCCAGGTTAACAAGCACCACATCGCTGAGATTGGGTTTACCGCTGGACGGGGCACATTCTGATGACACGAGTCAAGGAAGTTGTCTGGCAAATATGTATTTATTAAAGCAATGCATGAGAGATGGAAGCCACCTAGATAGGTATTATCATGGGATCAGCTGCAAGACATACTTTGTGTATTTCTCCGCTCTAGTTTCATGTTTAGCATCTCGTGTCAACAAACAGGATAAAATGACATCAGTGTCTGTCAGTAAGGAGATGAGTGTCATGGTGAAAGCTGCTTACTAGCATGACCGAGTGCAATCAGATACAAGCCGTGTTCACTAAAGCGTTCATGCGGACTTTAAAGGGGTCATGAACTGCCTTTGTTTTCGTACTGTTCTCTGAGGTCCACTTATAATGTTATCAAGATTTTTACATTAAGAAACGTCATCATTTAGAAGTAATAAGCTATTTTCGGTCCTGTTTTTAACCCTGTTTGAATAGGCGTGGAGGATTGTAGTCTCGGAAGTAAACTGCTGTGATTGGCTAATAGTTATGTTTGACAGTCTACTTTCTTCTCAGATGGATGCTGCAGTGATTATAGGTTAAAAATGCATAAATACTTCATACATATCAAACGATCCGTTTAAAGCAATTACTCACACTTGTGTTGCAACATTACTATCGGATCCAATATAGTCAGCACAGCATTGTCTTTTAGTTTCAATCTTTCTGAAAGTCACATGTCAAATTGTGCCTCGCTTGTAAACGAATCTGCGGTAAAATGAAGTGAACAAAGGGCCAAGTTCTTACTGATGTGGATCTTCACTAAAAATAAAGTTCATCCACTCTTTCCTAATGCTGGGATCAGAAGGAAGGCAATGCAAAGACTATTTTTTCTCCACAACTTGGCACTGCACAGCATCTTGTTGTGTTCTTAGCATCTTTATCGCTTGGTTTCTGCGTTCACCTCTAGTTATTTACAGTACAATACATGTGCGCATCGGTGGGCGGGGCTAAACAGGCAGCGATGTAGAAGCAGGCGTTGATCTTCTTCTGCAGAGGCGGGGTTTATCCACACTATTACGCCATAGAGCCAGACATTCCACAAGCTGTCCTTTTGGCAGACTGCCTTCAAGAAAAAGATCTGTCACTACTTCCGTTTCATCATGACTTTAACATTATAAGAGATGATTTCATTAGGTTTTCAACGGCTTTGGGAATCCTGACAATAATATCAATGCCATGGAATGAGAGTTGTTTAATCAGCAAAACCTAAATTCACCAGATTTATTTGTATAATGCAATAAACATGTATTGTGTTTAATTGAATTAACCTGTGACCAATGACCATTTAAACTACCAAAATGAGCTTCCTTTGGTGATCGTTAAGGATCACGATGAGTAAACTAATGCACAAGCCGTCCCGAGATAATCATCTGAAGAGGTCTGACAACAAAATCAGTTATATAGACATAAGTTTCAGAAATCTCCTTAAGGGCTTCTCGGCCAAAGTATTCTGACATATATAGTGACAGTTATGTGAATGTTTAACAGGAATTACAGCACATCAGCAGGTTAGCAAGCAAACCACAGGGAACTCAATGTGACCGACGACTGCAATTAACAAAATAGGGCATGATGCATGGGAGAAATAAAACGGTCTATGTAAAAACGCACTGAAATGCCTCATTTAGAACAGTTATTGCACATCAGCATGCGCATTTTGTGTCAGGCAGAGACTGAGCTGTTAGCCTTCAGGCTAGCTGACGCCCCTTAAGCACGCATGCGCACATCTCTGTACGACAGAGCAGCAACGCTGTACTTGACAGACTGTCCACTCCCATTCACTTCCATTATGGCTTGGTAACTGCAGTTGAAAAGATATAAAACAAATGCAAATAAACACGCTAAAGCCCTTCGTTTAGGTCAGAAGCACGCAGGTTTTCTAAGTTGGATTTGCATGACTTGTCTTTTTTGTCTCCAGTCTCGTGAGATTACTGCTGCTGACCGAGCCAAACGAATGCGTGAATCGCTCTCTTTGAACAAATCTTTTAAGCGAACGAATCATTCTAGGTCACCTCTATGCACGACTCGTTTTTCTTTCTCTGAAATCTCAGGAGTCTTAGCAAAATATGTAAAATTATAAACATTCTCCATTTCTTTATACCACATGTCATTTGAGATTTAAGGGGGCAAAACAATTATGATTCTATTAAGCATGACAGATGACCATATGCTATTAAAATGACAAAGGACGTAAAAAAAATATATATACATATACATATACAAATAATTTTAGGCTATTTTGTCGCACTTTCATCACAGATTGATATCCACCACTTTACAAAAATCGAGAAGTTAAAAAAAAAGTCAATTTTTCAAAAGTTGATTTACGCTGATGGCCAGCCAATTGATTCAAAAGATTCGACTCACTGGATGAATCAAAATCTCTACAACTAAAAGAATGTAAATTTGACATCACCACGGCTTTGCATCCATTTAATGCTCCACAAGCTCTACACAAGTGTGCAAAATCTACCAATAACTAGACAATATATTTATATTCAGTACACAAATTCTCATATATATGCACGTGCATATTACAAATCCCTAATACTTCCAGGTGTTCTAGGTGAACGCGAGGACCGAGTAGTACAATCATTACTATCATCTGAAACACTACAATACTTAAACCAACTCCGCTAAATTCCATGTTGTGCGAGTTTGTTATAGAGAGGATGTATGAACTACAGAGCGCACGATTAAAACGCCGTAACCAATCGGAGGTTCAAATGCGCAACACCTGACTCAGCACGCGCTACACCCGGAAGCGAAGGGCGAGTGGACGGTCTTCGGTCTTCGCCGTGCTGCAAATGCCTTTGGCTTTAGCCCAGACCAGGCCTCTTTTGCAGTTGTGGATCCCGACGACTCAATGACAAGCTGAGACGACAAAAGGATACTCAAAGTCAGCATCTTGGAAGGGTAGTCAAAAGCGACGACCTCTCCTTGCAGGCGCTGCCCCAGGCAGGTAATGCAGGAGACATGGCTCCCGACGCTGAAATACTCCCCTGGACCAGGAGCCGCCATCTTCTCCGCCAGGAAACGGGTGCCGTCGCCTCACGTAAACACGCGCAGCCGCGTCAGGACGGGAGGGAGCGCGAGGAGGCGTTCCGCGCGATGAATGAAGTGACGCTGCGAACCAAGCCACGCCCACTTTACTATGCCGTAGTAGATCAGCGATATCTTACTACAGTGCACCACACGCCCTCATCCATCCACTTCTGACTTGCTCATCTTCCTGGTTCATGCACAAGGATGCTTGAAAACATACTATGGGGAGCCTGTTTTTACCTTCACAGACATAAATCAGGCCTTTTAAAAAAGTTTTTGTTGCTCCAGACACCCAAATATGACGGTCACACTTGTAAAGGACCTCCTTAAAGGCAGCTAGCCTGTGTATTATATAAGTACTTTAAAAAATCCAAACAAAAATTATATTTTATTGCATCAAACTCTTTTTTTCCTACCCACCATAAAAGTAGGCTACTTTTAGATGTATAGGTAGAAACATAAAATGTTGACTGTAGAGTAGCATGGCTCTCATTCCTTCTGAAGAACCCGTAATAATGTCAAGTGCTGTACTTTTTTTTTTTTACGTATTGTTTTCACTGTGATTTCATACGGACAATTTAAAACCCCCCTGACCTAAATGATGAAAGAAAATAAATAATTAGAAGAATAAATAACAAATACAATAAAATAAATCATCACATAATTTATGGGGTAAACTTGCCCCTCACACTCAATATGTAAATTTTTGATGTCTATTGCACACACACGAAAAAAAATGATATATATATATATATATATATATCTATATATACACACACACAGAGGACACTTTATGAAGTACACCTGGCTAGTACCGGGTTGGACCCCATTTTGCCTTAATTCTCCGTGGCATAGATTGAACAAGGTGTTGGAAACATTCCTCAGAGATTTTGGTCCATATTGACATGATAGCATCACGCAGTTGCTGCAGATTTGTCGGCTGCACATCCATGATGCGAATCTCCCGTTCCACCACATCCCAAATGTGCACTATTGGATTGAGATCTGGTGACTGTGGAGGCCATTTGAGTAAAGTGAACTCATTGTCATGTTCAAGAAACCAGTCTGAGATGATTTGAGCTTGGTGACATGGTGCATTATCCTGCTGGAAGTAGCCATCAGAAGATGGGTACACTGTAGTTATAAAGGGATGGACATGGTCAGCAACAATACTCAGGTAGGCTGTGGCATTTATACAATGCTGAATTGGTACTAAGGGGCCCAAAGTGTGCCAAGAAAATATCCCCCACACCATTACACCCCCACCACCAGCCTGAACCGTTGAGACAAGGCAGGATGGATCCTTGCTTTCATGTTCTTTACGCCAAATTCTGACCCTACCATCTGAATGTCGCAGCAGAAATCGAGACTCATCAGACTAGGCAACGTTTATTCCAATCTTCTATTGTCCAATTTTGGGGAGCCTGTGCGAATTGTAGCCTCTGTTTCCTGTTCTTAGCTGACAGGAGCGGCGGAGCGGCACGTCTTCTGCTGCTGTAGCCCATCTGCTTCAGGGTTCAACGTGTTGTGCGTTCAGAGATGGTATTCTGCATTTCTGCATACCAACGAGTGGTTATTTGAGTTACTGTTGCCTTTCTATCATCTCTAACCAGTCTGCCCATTCTCCTCTGAC